CCCCCCCAAAATAGACCCGGAACGAGACGTGGCCGCGCCTCGACTTCTTCAAGGCCAACAGCCTCACCTTCAAGAAGCCAGACCACGAGAAGTACCCCGCCATGGAGCTGGCCTACGCGGCGGGCCGCGCGGGCGGCACCATGACCGGCGTGCTCAGCGCCGCGAACGAGCAGGTCTGGGGGCGCCGCCGTCTTGCGGAGGCCCCCTGTGCGGCTGCGTGCGGGCTGAGGCCGATGGAGCTGGGCCGCTGACCGAGATGTGTCTAAACATCCTCCGGCCTGGCTTTGCAAGGAGCTGTCTCACGGTGCCCCCTGGTCCTCCACTGCCTGTTTGACGTCCCGGCACTGCCGCTACGACTCGCCGCGCAAGGTGTTGTGCAGGTGTTGTACGCAACCTCGGCTCACCCACCCCTCTCAAACCCTCCGCGTCCGGCGCCCCGCAGTCCGTCCAGATGTTCATCGACGAGCGGATCGGCTACCTCGACATCATGCGCCTCAACGAGGCTTGCTGCGAGGCCCACAAGGCGGAGCTGGTGCTGAAGCCCAACCTGGAGGAGATTGTGCACTACGACCAGTGGGCGCGCAAGTGGGTGGAGAACGCGGTCGTGTCGGGGGCGTTCAAGCCGCGCGTCGTGGTCGCGGCCAAGTGAGGGGGCCCAGGCGGGCGGGCGGCGCTCGGCAGGGCGCCGCGTGGCGGCTGCCCTGCAGGCACATTGGCTTCATTGTAGCCGCAGTACGCTGCGTTCTTTTTCTCTTTCAAGTGGTGGCGCGTGTCGGAGTGGAGCGGCCTGGTGAAGAGAAGCGCATATCGTTCTTACATTTTTGAATGCACTCGCCGCACGCTTCTGCCCTGGCCGCGACCTGTGGTGTAAACGCCACACTCATTCAGAGGTTGGTAGGCCAGCTTCGGCTGGTGCGGGTGCCTGACGTTCTGCAGCATCGCCTGCTTTTGGCCTGCCAACCACCCAGCCACCCACCCAGCAGCGGTTCCTTTTTCACATCACATCCTGCCGATTGAGAAAGTGGCAAAGCAATTGACGGGCCACGAATGGGTGAATCACGATGCAAGGCTTGTGCTTAGATCGGATCATAAGCCGATGGACCACAGCAATGAGCACGCTGCGCACGCTGTGCGGCTGTGGTGGTTGTCAATGGTGTCATTGACCACCTGAGGCTAAGCAACTTGGAAGAATACGAGGTCAATTTTACGGCACGCTTTGTAGCAGGACCCTCGCGGCGATCAGGTCTCCAAGGAGGCCGGGACATCATGCTGCATCTCGACAACGGTAATGGCCGGCACTAAATACGCCTTCGTGCTGCCTCGTAATATAATTTCTCGTGTGTGCAACGATTGATTAACTTGGTATCGTGTAGCCAAGCGCCAAATGCTTGTTTGTTCATGGGCAGCGAAGCTGCTTATGCACTCCGGGCTCGACAGACATCTCTGATCGACGTCACCATGTACTACCTGGTGGTGCTCCTGCCGTTGTTGCTGGCAAGCAGCGGCCTCGCTGCACCCGCCGCCGCTCCACGGCGCCTCGTCGGGGGCGTCGTGCCGCCCCTCCACACAGCCGGCCGCAACTTTGTCGATGCCACCGGCGCGCGTGTGCGGCTGCGATGCGCCTCGTGGTCAGGCGCCCAGGAGAAATGGTTCGTCCCTTCGGGCCTGTGGGCGCAACCACGCCGCGTCATAGCACGCATGGCGCGGCAGGGCGGCCTCAATTGCATCCGTCTGGTCTGGAGCCTCGAGGCGGTGCTGCGGGCGGCCAACGGCACGGCGGTTGTGCCGGCCGCGGCGGTGGCGGCGAACAGGGACCTGGCCGGCCAGAGCCCCCTGCAGGTGCGAGCCAGCAGGCGCTGATGTGCTGTATCCTTGGGAGAGCCTTGGGACAGGCTGCCGCCACCGCGCCTGCCCCGCAGCGGCTGCTGCTCCTGCTGCTGCTGCTGCTGCTGCTGCTGCCGCCGCTGCTGCTGCTGCTGCTGCTGCTGCTGCTGCTGCTGCTGCTGCTGCTGCTGTCGCTGTCGCCGCCGCCGAAGAATCCCCAATGCCAACTGCACAAGCACTTGCCTTCGCCGCGCCCGCCGGCTGTCTGCCACCAAGGCCCCACCTCCTTGTCCCCCGCCACCAGGTGTTGGACGCGGTAATCGCGGCCGCCGCCGCCGAGGTGCGGGCGGCCGGCTCCTTAGCAGGCCTGGCGGGGCCGTGAACACCGCCACCAGATGCCAGCGCGGGCCTGGCAAGACAGGGACCTGACTTGCAGCCGTGGCTCAGGACATCAATGGCGCTGCTGCAGGACTGCGGGCCCTGTGCTCGCAGTGCGCGACCCCCGAGACTTGCCGCCCCCGCCTGCCACCCCCACCCCTCCCCCTCCCCGGGTCAGGGGCTTATGGTGATACTGGACAACCACAGCAGCGACGCAATATGGTGCTGCGGCGTGCAGGTCGGTGCTGAGCCTCATCAGGGGCGCGACGCATTGTCCCGTGCGCCTGAAGGGATGACGCGCGGCGTGCATGGCACGTCACCTGTTGCAAGCGACGCCGCATTTTTTCTCTGCAACGGGCCTGATCCTGAGGCGTGTTGCGTTGCGGCGCGGCGTTGCGCCCCCTCCAGGATGGAAATGGCCTGTGGTACACCGCCAGATGGAGCGAAGCCGCCTGGCTGCAGGGGTGGGCGCTGCTGGCTCGCCGCTACGCCAACGCAAGCAACGTGGTCGGCATGGGCCTGCGGAACGAGCCGCGGCCGACGTTCGTAGGTGGGGGCGTTGTGGGGAGGGGCGCCACACGAGCGCGGCGGGCTGGAACTAGCGACCCCGGCCCTGGTGCCTGAGCGCAGGCACGGGTCGCGCACGGCTGGGGCCAAGCTTTCCTCCACACGGCTCATGGCACCTTGCGCCAGCCCAGCAACCGTTTGGTTCCCTCCCATCCCCAGCAGACAGCGCAGAAATCGTGCCGAGCTCCAGTCAAAACAGCTCGGATTGCGGCTTGCCTCCCATATGGGACACCTTGAACCCATGCTGGGTTCACCCGTCGACCTCCTTCCCCCAGGTGCCGCGCTCCGCCTGCCGACCTGGGGCTCTGGCGGGCCCACCACTGACCTGGCCGTGGCGTATGAGAAGGCGGCCGGCGCGATCCTGTCCGTGCGACCCACCTACCTCATTTTCGCGCAGGGCCTCATGGCCGGCCGCGACCTGCGGCCGGCGCGGCTGCGGCCGCTGGTGCTGCGCGCGCCGTGGCCAAAGGGGCGGGTGGTGCGCGGCCAGCTGGCGTACGAGGCGCACGAGTACCCCTGGCTTTGGGTGGGCGGCCCGTGCGTGTTTGTTGTATATGTGGGGTATGTGGAAGGTATCCTGCTTCCTGCCCAACAGGAGGATTCCAAATAAGTGATGAGTGTCCACATGGGAAACATGGAGCATCCTTGTGCCCTCATCGGCTCGATTGCAGACCTCAATTACAGACACGAATCAGGGTTCGTGCTGAGCACGCGCACCATACGCGTCATTTTTCACACTGTGCCCTTTCCCCCTTGCACAGGGCTCCTTTGACTTTGATGACTACAACGCCTACCGCGCCCAGCTGGATGACGCATGGGGTTACCTTGCTGTCACTAACAGGACGCCCTTGTGGCTAGGTGAGCACATGGATGGGCAAAGCGTGCTTCGCTCAGGCACGTCTGGCGGGATCATCCCGCGATGATGCCATTGATGCTGTCTAAGAGGACTTCTGTAGGTCCTCCCAACCCCTCCCCCCAGCCCCCTTGCATCAGCATGCCGATGTCCCTGTGGCAAGGAAATTCACGCTGCTGGTGCTCTTTGCTCCACGCCTGCAGGCGAGTTTGGCACGTCCCACAATCAGGAAGGCATTAGCAGCCCCTGGTGGAAGGCGCTGATACGGTAGGGGGGATCAGGGATGCGGTTCGGGCCGGCCGTGGGGGAAGTACTGGGGACCGTTGATTGGGCAGCCCTCCTGCAGGGCTGCAGACCCAGCTCGCTTGATTGCCCCGCATGCAGCCCAATACATCCCCAGTCTGCAGCTGTGCTGCGACTGACCCCGCACTCAAATCAAATCGCGGCATCTTGTGGCCCGCAGCTGCCACCGCGCGCGCTCCTGGACCCACCCTTTCAAACGAGCTGACCCCCCCCCCCCTTGGATTGCGCCCTGAACCCTCTGGATCAACCCATACGCAGCTACATAAAGGAGCGTGACTTGGATTGGTGCTACTGGCCGCTCGACGGGCAGCAGGGGCCTAGCCGACAGCAGGGCTTGGAGGAGATATATGGGCTGCTCAACACCACCTGGAACGGCTGGGCCTACCCCCCGTTGATGGAGCAGCTGCGGAGCATCATGGGGAGGTAGCGTACAAGTGGCTCTGAGACAGCGTGTGTATCTTGTGTTGCTAAAATGCAGTTGTCACATTTTATTGGTCCATTGTACCGGAACTGTGCCCCCTGCTTTTCATCTTGGACAGTTTTCCAAGTACGTGGTCTCACCCAATTCACCACATTGCTTGTGGGGACGCACTTGCAACCAACCCCTTCTAGTTGGCACGATGCACATCACTGGATTGGGCCAGGCTTCACTGTCACTTCCCTGCCAATCTTTTACTCATGCATCGCTACTTGGATCCGTTATATTGACTCTGTGTCTGTTACAGAGGACAAAGTGCATCCTGGCAAGGAAGGAAGGAAGGGCCGAGTTCGCATTCAAACGCGGGCCAGGGCAGTTTGTGCGTGCATGCTGCAAGCTGCTTGCTTGAACGTCAGGACACTGCTGAGCGCCTTCTCGGCGTCATTGGCAGCTGCCAAGAGAAGATCGTTGCATACTGTATCCTGGAGATGAGTGTTGAAGGTGCCCGCTGCGTGCAGAGAGAAGGCGCGCAAACGCCGTGCGGCCACGACCGACGCGCCTCGCTTGTTGTGCTGCTGTTGCGATCGGAACGAAACGATGATGAGCGCCATGCCATATACCTGTCAAAACCGGCTGAGCGGACAACCCACAGCCAAGAGAACTCCTGCATCAGCGCCCCTGCAAGAACGTCTGCTGCTATCCTGACAAGCACACCCCATCTCACACAACCGTCAAGTGTGTCCGGGCGCATTGACGGAACCTGCGGTTGGCCCCATGCGCGCCGCCCTCTCGGCACATGACGCGGTCCCCACCCTGCGTGTCTGCGTGCTGTTCACACGTCAGACCGTCTTGCAGACGTCGGCGGCACATGAACACCGCCAGCTTGCGTCTAGCGGGCTAGATGGCGCCGCGGCGCGCGGCCGCAGCCTTTGCTCTCTGGGTGCGCTTGCCGCCGCGATGGGGCTGGGGCCGGCGTTCGCCGCCATACTCACCGTCCCCGCCGAACCCGCAGTAGTCCGGCTCAGGGCCAGGCTCGCCCCAGACCGCGTGCGCGTTGCCAGCAGGCAGACGGCCCACCGCGTCGTACCCTCCGTCAAAGCTGAGACCCAAGTAGTCTGGCTTGCGCCCTGCAGCAGCAACATCAGACAGCGGCTCCACGCGCTGCGGCTCCCGCGCCGCAGGCGGATTGCGCTGCTTCACCGGCGAGCCGTCCTGGCTGGCCGGCGCCTGATGCTTGTTGCCCTGCGCCACGTAAGCGGCGATGAACGCCCTCACGCGCCCAACGTGCTGGGGGCTGCGCTCAAGGCCGCTGCCGAGACGCCGGGGCCGCCCGCCACAGCCGCCCTTCCCTGCACCCACGCGCGGGAACGCCGCTGCACTGGGGGACGCCACTGCGTGTGCATTTTGCATCGCTGGGGCCCCGACTGGTGGCGATGGCGGCGGCACTCGCGGCTGCGGCTGCGGCAGCGGCTGCGACGGTGGCGAAGGCTCGCCCGCGGGCGCCCCGACCTGGGACGGAGCTGCCACTTTCACCTGCAGCCCCCCTTGCAGGGCCCTCTGCAGCACGTCGTCGTCTGACAGCACGGCCATCGCTTGCTGCCTCGCAGCCTCCGCCAGGTGCGCCTTGATCCTCTCCTTGGCCTGTGCGGCTGCCCGCTGGGCTTGCACCTCCTGCTGCTCAGCAGTCGGGGCCGCTGCTGCCGCCGCCACGGGGTTCCCTCCGCCTCGTGCCTCCCAGATCTGTGCCAGCTGGGCCACGGAGCCGTGTGCGGGGTGCGCCTGCAGCGGGGTCGTCCAAGGCGGCAAATCTTGAGGCATGGATGTAACGGACACCTGTGTCTGACGCACCGCCGCCGTGAGCTGCAGCTCTTGCATTTATGCATGTGACAGCGGGCTGCTATTTGGGCCCGCCCTTGCAGCAGCCAAACGCCACCGCCATCTGCAGCTGCCGCTGCCTCGCGGCGTTGGCTGCGTGTGCCTTGCCAAGGTTGGGAGCCCGTTTCATTACCTCGTGCTGCTTGTTTGCTGTGGCCACCGCGGCCGCGGCCGTGGCAGCAACGTTCCTTTCGCGCTGGATTTGAACCCCCGAGAAGGGGGTGTGCCCCAGGACACCGCGCTGATTGTAGGCGAGTGGGCAGTCCCTTGCGGCCAGCATGCGGCGCATCTCTGTCGTGGACACCACAGGGTCCAACAGGACGTTGGCCTGCTGCAACGCGCGCTGCTCGTGCTGCGCCAACACAGCTGCACAGGATGCGTCCGCAATATCTGGGTCTGGAGAAGACAGCGCCGGCGCGGCCCAAGCAAAAGGGCTACCCATGATGTCTGAGCGACACTGATGAGCCTCCGTATTACCGTGTAATGATCTAGGGTGCGGGAGGGCGGTCAAGCGATCAAGACGGGAGTCGTTACGACCGTGTGTGTCGCGAGGTGATCTGAAGTCGAAAAGACTATCAGGATGATAAAATGAAAAACATGCAATATCAGGCTGTATCGTGCCGTGACAATCAATAAGATGGCCGAACACTGCAGTCGGTTGGGATACTCGAGCCTTAGACGCCTCCACTCCCGCTAAGGCATTTATGAAAAGATTCGCTGGTTGTCATACGAGTCCCTTACAGCCCCTCAGAACGGCCTGTGGATGCAGGCAAAGATGGGGTCACCGCTTCGACTTCGCATCCGCGACAGCTGCAAGCGTCAGCAGTGCGGGGCAGCGCCGCGACTCGCTTATAATGGTACGCTGATACATGAACCAGGCATACCAGGACTATTACTACATGTTGTTGCACAAACAGCCAATTCCCTGCCACCTGCAAGCCTAAATGCAGGGTAACACTGCTCAAGTGCGGGACAGTGCCCTGGATATACAGATCATCAGGTCCAAACAAAAGCTGCATGCCTACGCCTCTGCACACGCCCCATGCCCCATACCCCATGCCTCATGCCCCATGCCTGTGCCCCATGCCATGCCCAAAGCTGCACCCGTTCCCGCGCCCACGCTCACGCTCACGCCCACGGCCATGGCCACGGCCACGGCCACGGCCACGCCCACAGCCACGCCCACGCCCACGCATGCGCACATGCACATGCACATGCACATGCACATGCACATGCACATGCACATGCACATGCACATGCCTGTACCCATATCCATACCCAAGCCCAAGCCCCAGCCCAGGCCTTGTTATTAGGTGCATTTCAAGACCACCTTCACGCCCGTCACGACCTTCCACAAGGCGTTCGCACCAATAAAATAACAAGCGTGCAGCATCACAGACCTCTTGAATGTGAGCGGAGCACCAACAGCCAGAATGTGTGCATATCAGTGATGGCTGCCAGAGGTCAGCAGCCAGTCACACATTCTGGGTGCCACTCACTGTTGGTTGTGCCCACCCATTCTGGGTGCCACTCAATGGTGGTTGCGTCCCCCCCCCAACCACCTTTCACCCTAGGAGCAACCTCCATGATAGCCTTTTGAATGCGCATCAATTGAGCAATATAGTCACATGTGCATCTCAGTATCCGCATGCAAGCCGCTTGTCCTTGGCAAGCAGCATGCAGCATCATGACGCGTCCGCAGGCAATTTTCGCACAGTAATGTGCTCGCTACCTTACCGAGAACGTGAAGGGGAAAAGATGGCACTGGAGTGAATACCAGCATGCGGGCACATGTGGGCTGACCACGATTGCCGTGAGCTGCTGACGACCTCCTGATTGAGTGAGTCTTTCGTTTTGAATCAGACAGCCAGGGTTCTGCCTGGGGCCCGGTGGTGCAGCTGATCTGTACAGAGGCGCCTTCAGACTTGGTGCTGTTACAGTCTGCCTGGACCTTCGCGCCGCAAGACCAACCACCCGGGACCAACCAACCCCAAATAGCAGTGCAAAGTAAGACTTCAGGTATGTGGTTGAAAGGTGGTGTGCAGCCGCCAAGAAGGGGTGCACCGGTAGACGTGCTGAATGCCTGTGCAGTGCAACGCATTGCGTAAAGAGCTCACAATGCCGGCGCTGCAGCCTGAGCTGCAACAGATGAAAGAGCAACCCGGCCGTCAAATATCGGCGGTTTTCAACGTTCGGTGCAGCGACCACAAACACATGAGCAATATGGAAACAAGTCAATGTACGGCCGCCCTTCTTCACAGGGGGCGCATCGCGCTGCACTGCGACAACAACACAACTTGTGTCACAAGGTAGCTTGCCCAAAACCAAAAATGTGCGCGAGCAGTGGACAACGTACGCTATACACGGCTGATGCACATAGGGTGAGCCACACTCGATCACAACACCCAAATCAAGCATGCCTCCCTGCGTCAACCTCCCGCGCCTGAGCCATAGGCCTGTATCACCCGCTGTTGCTGGCCCCGCCGCCGCTGCTGCACACGCTGCACGTCATCTTGGTGCTTGCGCACGTCTCCGGCCGCCCCTGGAACCGCTGCAGCCCGGAAGGCAGGCAGCCGGTCAGCCTGGTGTTGTTCTGAAGGTAGAGGTATGCGAGGGTGTTGCCCAAGCGGCCCCACGATTGGGGGACGGACCCGTCCAGCTGGTTGTCGTTCAGGGAGAGGTCCCAGATGTAATCCCAGACCGCCCATGACGGCGGGAGCGGGCCGGTCAGGCGGTTCTGGAAGAGCCAGAGCTTCACCAGGTCGGTAGTGCGGGACCAGGAGGCCGGCAGGGTGCCCGTGATGCTGTTGCCGCTGCAGGACCACAGGCGGGGCAGGGGCGGGGGGTTGACAAGAAGGGGCAGGGCTTCGTCGTCATGTGCTGCAGTGGCAGTGGCAGGTATGCATGGGCGGACGCGCTACTGACCAAGCAGCACCGCATGCGAGTCTGGCGGCGCATTTCTGCCCCTCTTACCGCAGCGTGAGCGTCTGGATGAATTTGAAGCGGGCCCATGCCTCTGGCAGCGGCCCCGTCAGCCGGTTGAGGTCGAGCTCCAGATCAGTCATGTTGGGCCAAACCTGCGGCAACTCCGGCGGCAGCGTGCCCTCCAAGCGGTTACGGCTGCGGAGGCGGTCGTACAGGGGTGTTGGGAATCGGCTCAGGATCGGCTCCATACTGATGGTGATCGAGGTTGGCACGGGGCAGGCAAACACCAAAGGCAGGAGCGTGTGTGCAAGCTCGTCGGTGTCAGATCCACGCTGCCGCCGCACCGTGCGCTCATTACAAGCGCACGGTTGAAAACACCGTGGGTGACCGCTTCCTTGGGATGCTCGTGCAGCAACTCACTGCAGGATGAGCTTCCTCAGCCTGCGCATGTTGAAGAGCTCCCTTGGTATGGTGCCCACAAGCTGGTTGCGCGCCAGTTGCAGGTCCATGATCGTGCTCCACTGCCCCAACTCGGGAGGCAGCGTGCCCGAGAGCTGGTTGTTGCTGCGGGGCGTGGGGTGGCGTGCACGCATGTGTTATCGCACGTGCGTGCGTGCAGTGTGTGACCCGGTGCATTTGTGTTGACAGGCAGGGTTGTCAGCTGGAACAAGGGGTGTGAGTTGAAACATTATCAGTGGTGCTAGAGACGTGATATACAAAAGGGCCCCAAATGCAGAGCTTTAACATTGATATACGCAAGGTTGACGGATGAGTGGGAGCTTGCCTCGCGAGAATGCCAGGCAAGACTCGCGTGCATGCACCCAGCAGGTCAGCAAGTGCAGCCGCCATCTGCGCAGGTGGCAGCACCACCGCACTCACCCAACAGCACTCGCACGGGCCCTCCGCGACTCGACCACACAAAAAAACTGGCCCCAAAAAAACTAGCTGCACGCCCCGCGTGACAGGGCCGCTCACTGCATGTGCAACGTCACGATGGAGCGCATCTTGCCCCACTCCCGAGGGATCGGCCCCGTGAGCTTGTTCAGCGCCAGCCGCAGGTCCACCAGGGTGCCCATGCCCCCCCACGCGGCCGGCAGGGGGCCGGAAAGGCTGTTGTTTGCAAGGTTGATGAACTGCACTGCAGACCACCCGGCGCCCAGCTCTGGAGGCAGGGTGCCGGTGAAGTTGTTGATCCTGGGGCGGGGGAGGGGGAGGAGGGGGTGTGAGGGGAGAAGCTGGGGGTGGCTGATGCACAGGCGGCTTGAGACCATGTGCATGCTGCTGTCGAGTCTGTCCTGCCTGTACATTTCGTGCAGGCAACAGCACTGAAGGGACGCACATGCGCACATAAAACGACATGAGGAAAGCACCAGCAAGGATGTCAGGCTGGGCGCTGTTGCAACTTTTGGTAAACACTGGGCCACAAGCGGCACACCCTGTCCGGCCCCTCCTCCAAGCCGGGGGTTCCAGAGGAGGCACGGGCAACCCCAAACGCTGCCATTGCTCCATTCTCTGCGCGCACCGCACACGGACCCCGTTTCCGTGCACCCTACGCGCCAGGTCTGTGCTCACTGCATGAAGATGATCTTGAGGGCGCTCATGCCGGCCCACGCGGCCGGCAGCTGCCCGCTGAAGAAGTTGCCCCCCAACTGCAGGTTCTCCATCGACTGCCACGACTGACCCAGCTCTGGGGCGAGCGGCCCGGACAGCTGGTTGTAACTGTTGTGGGAGGTTTGGGGGGTCGCGGGCCGTCATGACGCACAGAATGCAAGTGCAGGGAGGTGAAGGGCGATTGGAGGGGTGTTCAGCCACAAGGCATGCGGCTGCCGTCGCCGCCGGCGTTTTGCCGTGCAACTGCTGGCCGTGGGAGGACCCGCGGCTGACAAATCACACCACGTGTGTCGCCCAGACCCAGGGTCTCGTGACGTCATAACAGGACCCCAAGGGGTGCTCACTACAGGAAGAGGCTGCGCAGGTTCTTCATCTTGGCCCACTCCCGCGGCAGCGGCCCAGTCAGCGTGTTGTTGTTGAGCGCAATCCTTTGGATGAGTGGCCACCCCTCCCCAAACTCGGGGGGCAGAGTGCCGGTCAAGTCATTTGTGCTGGAAAAAGGGGGAAGGGTGGAGGGTGGAGGGTTGTTGTTGTTGTTGTTGTTGTTGTTGTTGTTGTTGTTGTTGTTGTTGTTGTTGTTGTTGTTGTTGATGTTGTTGTGTATGTGTGTGTGTCGGTGGGTGAGGGGGCGAGGCTCAAATTGTGTGTGCTGGTGACTTCATGGGACCAGTGCGGAGTGCCTAACACATGCAAGGTGTTGCCAGCTGCTCCCTTCCCCCTTTGCCCAACCTCGCCGCACGCCACTGCCGCCGCCCCCTCGGCCCCGCCGTCACCACGCGGGCACCAGGGCAAGCCCCCAACACACTCACGCCAAGTACAGCGTCCTGAGGTTGCTCATCCCGGCCCACTCCTTGGGGATGGAGCCCTCCAGCCAGTTGTTCATCAGCCGGATGTCCTCCAGCTGAGTCAGCGCCCCGTACCCCGGCGGCAGCGTCCCGATGATGCCTGTGTTGGCAAGCCACAGCGCGGTCAGCCGCGGCAGCTTCGCCAGCAGCGCAGCGGATGGCAGCGTCCCGCCGAGGGGGTCGCCGTCGTCGAATGTCACATGGATGACGTTCCCGACGCTGTCGCAGTCGATGCCGCCGAACGTGCGGCAGTAGGCCCCGTTCGCGCCGCGCTCGGCCGTCCAGTCGGCGAGCCAGCCCTTGGTGTCGAGGGCGGCCTTGATGCCCAGCAGCGCATCCAGCTGGTCGGCGAACGACGCGACCGGCGCCGACACCGGCGGCGGGCGCGGCTTGCGGACGCCGCGGTTGCCGACGTCGAGCGGCCCCGTCGGCAGCGGTGACGCCCGCGCGGGGGCGGCGGCCGTGGGTGCCGCCTCGTCCTCGTCCTCGCCGCCTTCAGGCGGAGGCGCCGTCGCAGGCGAGGCCGCCGCGGGCGCTGGCGTGGCCGCAGGCGCTGGTGTGGCCAGCTGGGCTGGCGTCGCCGTGGGGGCTGGCGTGGCGGCGGGCGCCGGCGTGGACGCCGGCGCCGGCGTGAAGGGGATCACCGGCAGCGGCACCGCGCCGCCACGGCGGGCGGCGAGGGAGAGGACGGTGAGCGGACGGCCGTTGGCGTCGTAGATGACTACGGCGCTGCGCACTCCGGCCGCGTCCCGGTTGCCCGGGCCCGTAGGCGCCGCCGCGGCCTGCGGGGCGGCGCTCCCTGCCGGCGCAGCAGCCGGGAGGACGGCCGCTGTGGGAATCCGTGGTGCGGTGGCGGGTGGCTTGGAGGGGCCGGCGGGCTTCGCGACGGGCTGCTGGCCTGCGGGGGCCGGCGCAACAGTTACAGGGGTTTCGGTTGGCGCGGATTGGTTGACATAATAGTGAGTGGCGGCTGGTGGCGTGGATTCGTGCTCCATCGTGGCTGTGCTCTCGACTATGTCTCCCCGACATCCTTGCTTGCTTCTGCTAGATGAGCTCCCAGCTGGCACACAGGCGCGTGCCGCGCACCTGCGGCACATGCCACCAACAGCACTGCACAAAGCCAGGCGGCCAGCCCGAGCCTGGGTGCCGGTGAAAGCATCCAGTTATCGGCTACATTTCGCAATGTTCGCCCTCGTCGTTGCTGGCTGGCTGCGTGGGACACACACAGGACAGACTCGTCACCCGTGAGTCGCAAACGCATCACCGCGACTTATAACTCAAACTACGGCTATCTATTAGTGATATCCTATGCCCAGAGCTGGAGCATCACTCCGTGCCAGAAACACACCCGGCCGTATTGGCCGAAAGGAGGTTTGGGTCGCCCTGTTTGCCGATTTGGTCTCCGACAGGCCCAACGCATCACCCAAACTGGCGATCCCCAAGCTACCAGCGCCTGCACGTTCCTGTGCGATGCTCTCGAGTGCGCGGTCACCCGCCGACCGTCGGTGGCTGGTGACGGACGATGCAAGGCATGTTGCCCCGCTCTTCATCGATTGTGCCAGTCGGCATGAATATTGCGCTGGTTTGCACAATGCATAAACTTCTCAGGAAACGCACGAGGCAAGGGAGCTTCGAAACCCTCGTTGTGCCAGACCCGCGGACCGCTGTCGCTGACCCACGGCCCCCGCCCCCCCCCCCCTCCCGTCGGATGCACAGAGTGGTTACAGTCTTTGCAGTATAAGCGCGCGCCCACAGCATGGCCTTTTCATGGTTTGCGCCACGTGCAGCCTCGTTGCCATCGGCGCTAAAGCATCGCGGAGGTGATGAAGTCGTCAAGTCTCCGATGTCATTCAGACAAGGGGGTTGAAGTGGGCTCCCAACATCCTGAAGGGCAGTCAAAGGCTGCACCGGATCAAAACTGGTTTATGGCACTGAATGCCAGAGTTCGTGACTGAGGAAAGTGGCAACTCCCTGAGCAGCGGCTGGCTCCCGCGCGTTTTGCATTGCGTAGTAGGGGTGTTGCCCTCCCCATCTCAGGCACATGAGGCCCACGCGCACGCACCACGCGCCATCATGTCCGTGCATGCCCGCGTGAAGGACCCAGAATCCGTTGCAAAGCGATCGCAGCATTGACAGTGCAGGCCAGACAGACAGCACTGGCGGGAGCATCTGCAACCGGCAACCTTGCTTTGCACGAGACAGAGATCCACACGCGAGCTGGGACGCGCGGGGCTGCTTTGATTCCGCAGCACGCAGCGCCAGTTTGCGCAATTGGAGGGCGCACCGCCCCTTAGGCGCGCTGCCCACGTCTCTGCAGCGATGCATGTACAACCGCCCTTTGCAAAAAAGGGCTGTGTGAGGAGGGCCTGCTATCATGTCAGTGAGAACCTGCAGACCAAAGCCCTCAAAACGTGCGTGATGCTTCAGTGCACACCTGCAGCTGCATTCAGATGTGGCTGGAGCGCCGCCTGGCAGCAGCGGCCGCCGCCGCCGCCGTCGCCGCGGCATCTGTTGCTGCGCCGCTGCCGCGCCCGCGGCCGCGCCACGCGGCGATCGACCAGCCCTCCCCGCAGTTGTGCGCGCCGCCGCCAGTTCTCGCTTTCGCGCCGCCCGCCGGCCCCTCAGCATCTGCGCTCGCGCGGCGGCCGGCGGTCGGACTGCACTGCCCCTCCTCCAGATCTGGGTGCGTCGATGACACGAGAAGGGCCTTGGCCCTGAAGCGCTCCAGGGTTTCTCGCGGAATGTCAGGCGCAGCGGCCCCCCCCTTCGCCTTGTGCTGCTGCGGCTGTACCAGCAAAACGTGTCGAACCTCCTGCGGCTGCGGCTGCGGCGGTGGCGGAGGCAGCGGCGGCCGCCACACCGCAAGCTGCCGGAAGGGCAGCAGCGACGCCAGCTGGGGGCCCTGATGATCGCCGACAGCCCCGGGCCCGCCGCACCCCCTACCAGCACCATGCGCCCCGCGGCCGCTCAGGCACAGGTTTTGCGGGTGCTGGGGCAGCCCCACTGCCACAGCCGCGGCGGCCGCAATCGCTCGATCCGCGTCGCCGCCGCTGCCGCCAGCACAGCGCTCGCGGCACTCCAGCGCGTCGCTGGGCCCGCCGCTGCAGCCACCCCCACCGCCGCCGCCGCCGCCGCTGCAGCTGCTGGTGGCCATCGGCGACTGCGGCGAGGACGGCGACGCGCACCCCATGCTGCCGTCGCTGCTGAGCGGCGTGCCGCAGCGCACTGCCGCGTACTGCGCCTGCTGGGACGCGCCGGCGCCACTGGGCTGCCATAGCGGGAGAGCTGGGACGTTGATAGCCAACTGTGGCCGCCAGCGCGGCCCTGAGCCCGCGTCGTTCCCCGCAGACACGCCCGCCCCCGCTCCGGCCCCGCTCATGGTCGCCCGGTGCTCCGGCATTGCCCCGGCCAATGGCGGCAGCGCCGCTGGGTCCGCCGGTGTGTCCGCGGCACCCTGCAGGCGCAGGTGCTCCTCTGTGCGATGCAGCAGCGACCTCAGAAGAGTGACCTTCCGCAGGTCAACGCCCCTAGACCCTGCAGGCCCCTCTGGCGGGCTGCTGTTTAAAGCTGCCGGCCCCCGTTGAGCGGCCGTGTCGTGCGGCGTGCGCGGTGCGGCCAGCAAAGGGGTTGCTGGAGGCGCGCTGTCGGCTGCCGTCGATGACGTGGGCCCCTGCTGTGAGTGTGGCTGCTGCTGCTGCTGCTGCTGCTGCTGCTGCTGCTGCTGCTGCTGCCGCTGCTGCCGCTGCTGCTGCTGCTGCTGCTGTTGCTGCTCCTGGTGCTCCTGATTCGGGCTGATCCATGCGCATGCGGTGGCCCCTGGGGGCGATCCCACATCCATTGGCTGCAATGGCAGCTGGAAAGCTGGGATCAGTAGGGCTGGCGGCTGCGGATGCTGCGCCAATCGTGGTGGTGGCCACTGCATGCTGGTTGGCAAGCCGCCGCACGCGCCAAGGCATGCAGACTGTGCAATGTGCTGCTGCTGCTGCTGCTGCTGCTGCTGCTGCTGCTGCTGCTGCTGCTGCTCCCAACTGAGCTGGGCCAGCCCGCCCCAGCTCAGCGTCGCCTGAGGCACTGCAACGTACTGCGCTCCGGCGGGCGCGTCTGCTCCGCGTTGAAGACCAGGTCTCCCGCTGCTGAGGCTGAGAGCGCCATTCAAGCCGCTAGACATGACCTGAGATATGTTAACGGAGTTCAAGCGGCCGTGGGCTGCCAGCTGCCTGGTGTTCGGCAGTCCGCTTGCAGCTGCACGCACAGCACACAAAGCGAATCGATGCCGCCGTGCATGCGCAGCAAGCCGGACAGCCCAGCCAATGCGGCCATTGCGCAAATGACGTACCTCTGTCAAGAATCGCTTGTGTTGCCTGAAGTTGTCCTCGAGGTCGTCCTCCTCTGCACATGCGTCCGCCTGCAGGCGCTCGATCGGGCTCATCGGGCGCGACGGCGCCCACCGCTTCCTCTTGCCCGTCGACGTGGGGGACATCAGCTCTTCCATGGCCGAAAATATGTCGCCGCTTATTGCGTTGGCAAAGAGGCTGGCAGCGCGGTATCAAGCAGGGAGTAAACGCCGTCCGCCGGCGTCCTGCCGTACTGAAATAAAAGAGATCACATAGCTATGCGACTTCACCTGATCTTGCGGGGAGCCTGAGCCGTGGAGAGAGCGCAGCAGAAGGCAGTCAAACGTGGAGAGCCATGGTGAAAAAGATCGCATCGCAGGGGTGCGATAGAGCTTAAAGCAAGAGGTTTCTGCGTCGAGGCAATCCTCAATGGTCTCAAGGACGGACCGGGCAGAATTTGTCTATTGTTGCCTTCTCACGTCGTCGCTAAATCATTGCTGGGTACAGTAGCGGGCGATATCTTACCGCACTACAGAAGTGGTAACAGGTATCAAGCCGTCACAACTGGTGGTGCGTCCAGAGGTGCGGGTCAGCCAATGGCTGGGCCGGGGCTGGGGGTGCCTTCCGGGGGTTGACAAGTGCAGCAGGGTGCAGCAGCGTCTGCCCAGCCGTTGGCCTGAGGTCACCTACACCACACTCTGCGGCGAATACGCCTGCTTTTGTCAAGTGCTCGACGCGTACATTCTCATGCTGTACCCTTGATACCATATGGCACATATAGGCTGCACGCACCGCTGGTGGAGAAGTTGCAGCGATGGGCATGTGCTGAAGGCGGCGCGCCCCTCTGGCAGGCTTAACCTGCACGCTGTGCGTCCCCCGCTCGGGTATCAAATGTGGCTAAGCAGCACAGTCTCTTTGCAAGCTGCCTCCTGGTGCCTTCAACCTCAAGCCACACCCAGTAGTGTGCAGTACTTGTATGTTGATTCCAACATCAATTAAGCACGCATCTAGACCAACCTGGCGCGCATGAAGGAGAAGAATATGATGAATGCATACATGGGTGCTGCACAGCAACGTGTCCGCGACACCCACACTGATTTGACTACGCCGCTGTCAGCGCACAAAATGCTGCAATCAAAGGATGGTGCCAGCACAAATCCAGTCAGCGGGCCTCGAACTTCCGCACCAGCCAGCACCCGTCGGAGTGCATATTCAAAACGAACAAAAACCGCGCCCGCTCCTGCCCCGGGCCCTCAGCCCTCAGAGTGACTTCCTGCACAAAGCTGCGCTGGCCAACAGGCAGCGCGCCCGGCCCTAGTTCCGCGGCCTTGTGGGTGAGCAGCGCGTGGCAGGCCGGCTGCCGCAGCAGAGAGCGAAACTCCTGCGGCGGCCAAGGGTTTGGGGGGAGGGGGGGCGTACGCGCGCCGGTCCACGCGGGGCAGCAAAAGCATGTAGCTGCTGGCGCCAAGGGCAGAGCGCCAGCCAGGATGGGGTTGAGGTTGAACCTGCCAAACCTGAAATTTGTGCAGAGAGGCAGGTGCTCCACAACGCACGCTGGCTGCGCACGTGGCGCTGCGCTCCTCGCGGGCTTGACAGCAGTGCAGCGCCCCTCGCACCTGCATTTGCGCGTCCCACCCGCCCGACGACGCGTGCCGCCCCCAGACCGCGAACCGCGCCGCCTCGTGCAGCGAGCCGCGCCGCAGCGCCGCCAGCTGCGCCAGCACGACGCGCTCCGGCGGGACGCGCGGGTGTGGGCGGCCGGGTGGGGTGTCGTCGTCTGAGGAAGCGTCCCGTTCTATGGACGCAAGGCGCCACGCTGTCCGCACAGTGTGGCTGCCCTCGCCGTCGCCAACGCCCCCGCTGCTGCCATTGTTGCTGGTCGGGCCCAGCTGCTGCAAGTGCTGCTGGTGGGCGCGGCTGTGTGCTCCACTGGTGCTGGCGCCGAAGGGGCTGTCTGACCTTTCCAGCGGCGTGCTGCTTTCACTGCTGCTGCCGCCATTAGCGCTCCCGTCGCTGCTGCTGTTGCTGTTGCTGCTGCTGCTGCTGCTGCTGCTGCTGCTGCTGCTGCTGCTGCTGCTGGATGCGTCTGGTTCCAACCCTACATTTTGGAGCCTCCTGTGCAATGCGAGATGGAGGTTGATGTGTGCAAGCTGGGAATTTCGGTAGAAAATCGAGTCAAAGCGCCACAACAGCTTAGGCTTGCCTCCAGGCTGCAAATGCTGGCTATTGACTGTATAAACATCAGTCCCACACCTGCGTGCAATGTGGAACCATGTCTGAACAGCAGTGTAGTTGCTCTGGAAGATGCACGGCGTGTTGCTAAGATCTGCACCAGCAGCGTCATGCACAATCCATGGCCCCAACTCACACCCACCAGGCCAGCACGATCTCCTCGCCACTGCAGGCCGTTACCGCGACACGCTGCAGGCACTCGCTGCCGACGCGCAGGCTGCTGAGGATGCGCGAGCGCCGCAGCAGGTGCCCCGGCAGCACGCGGCGCGCGGCGGCGTCCACGTAATCTGCACACCCTAAGGTTGGTTGCCGCGCATCGCAAACACGGCCTCAGCGGTGACGATGCGCGGACAGCGGGTTTGGGCTTCTTTGCACAACAAGCGGGTGCCAGTCAAAGGGCATCCGCAGCTCAGGCGGCCGTGAAACACACCAGGCTATGATTGACCAAGGCTCAGTCATCCTCGCAGGTCCTTAGCCACTGCAGGCCAGCTGACGGTGACAATCCTTTTCCAAACCACCAGCAATCCCACCTGCAAGGGGGCCCTGCTCAAGGATGGGCAGTCCCGCCACCAGCACCGGCCGTGGCGGCGCCTCCATGGGCGTCGGCAAGAAGGGGCGCAGCTGCTCAATGTTGCGCGGGTCCCTCAGAACGGTCAGCATCTCTGCTCGGTTGGAGAACGGCGGCAGGGCGGCGGCTGTGGGACTTGTGCTTTGCGCTAATGCCCGTACATACGGGTTGAGGCGCATGCGGGGTGAGCGCACCTATCGTGGCAGCGTCCGGCTCAAGGATGTCAGGCGTGCGCGGCGAGCGCGCCGCCACGGGCGCCGCTGCTGAGTGTGTGTGCCGCCATTCCTTATGCAGCGCCCGGGCGATCAGTGGGCGGCGGATGCAGCCGTATCGACGTGCAGGCGCACATACACGCATGGTGTGTTGAGACCCACAAGCCGCAGGTGGTCGTAAAAGTGATTGCATGGTCATGATGTGCACAGGGCCGCGCTGTTTTCAGCAAAGAAATTTGATCATCGACTTGAATAGGTAATTGTACGCCGTTGTATCGTATTATTTCAGGTCACTCAGATCACCACCCATGCTCCTGTCCTCACGGGCGGCCTACCGGCTGCAGCAAACCGCATTCCAGACCCGTGGCAACCAGAGACGCAAAATGAGCATAGCCAAGGCCGGCAAGCAGGTCATCTCCACCGACGGGTGCGTGCGCTGCAGGGGCTCCTGCAGCCTTTGGCAATCGCCTTAGGGCGGATCAGGGTGTGTGTCAGGCTGCCGTGGCTATGCACATCGACCACCATTATTCCTCGACCAAAAACCAGCAGCGGGCCGGGCAGCAGTGCACAATGACGGCTCCCTGGACGAGCGCACGCGTGCACAAACGTTCATCGCTTGAGGCTTGACTGATCACACGCAACGCTCGACAGGGCGCCAGCGGCGCTTGGCCCGTACAGCCAGGCGGTCCGCGCCGGCAACACGCTGTACGTGTCTGGCCAGATCGGGCTTGTGCCTGGGACCAAGGACTTCGCCTCCGAGGGCGTGGAGGGCCAGACTGAGCAGGTGGGTGCGAGCGGAGGGTATGGCGTGTCTGCAAACAAGCACCTCCCCGGCGGCCTGGAGGTTTGCAGCGGCTTTGTCACGCATGGGACATGGAACTTGGTGCCTCGCGTTGCAGCGGCACCACGACTGTAAGAGTTCTATATGTGCTTGGGTTTTGTGAAGCCAGCCAGTCTGTTGGTACAGGCTCGCACGACAGTCAGCACCCCCTCAGGGCCGCAACCGCGGCGCGGGCAGGTGATGAAGAACCTGGGCGCCATCCTGGAGGCGGCGGGCGGCAGCTATAAGAGCGTGGTCAAGACCACCATCCTGCTGGCGGGTGCGCAGCGCTGCAGCACAAACTCACGGGCACAACGAGTGCGCGGCCGGCAGCAGCGAAGCCACCCGCTCGCCGCGGGGCCCGACAACCGCGGAGCGCCTGCGGTTGCCGTGCCACCTTCGCACAGCGGCGCGCTCGGCTTGCACATGCCCACGCTTGTGGAATCATAAGCACACCCGATGCCATACCCGCGTCCACTCCTGACTGCCCCTGCACCAGACATGGGTGACTTTGCCACCGTCAACGGCATTTACGGGCGCTTCTTCCCGGAGGAGCCGCCCGCGCGCGCCACCTTCGCGGTCAAGACCCTGCCCCTCAACGCCAAGGTGGGGAAGGCACACGAAATGCGGGCAAACGGCAGTCTTGGACGATGGGGGAGCCAGGGTCGAACCGGGCAGCCCAGCGGTGTGGTGCAGGGTGGGGAGCTGGGCGGCAGCGCGGGGCCTGAGGATGCGCCCGGCAGCGGCTCTGACCGACCCAGATCACATTGTTGGCTTGCATACCCCAGCATCTGGATGCCAGAACGCCCCCGGCGACGCTGACTGTTCCCTCATGCCGCTGTTTCTCCCGTCAACCTTCACAGGTCGAGATCGAGGCGATCGCCTTGCTGGAGTAGGGCGCCTGCTGCTGTTGTCAGTGCCGCCCGTTGCTGTAACCCTTAACCCTGGCGCCTGCTGTTGCCGGCAGCGCGGTCGGCTTTTGCTCCTCTGCCCATGATCACCTCACGTGCTGGCGGCTTGCCAGCCGCTCTGTGCTGATGTGGCAACAGTTGCAGTAGTGGTGGCCCCAGCACACCGGCGCATCCACATGCAGCGTAGGACCAAAACTGGCCAAACCAAGAATGCCACTCCTGCGACTAGAAACGCTAAATGACCGCCCTCAGACTGACGGCCAGGAAGGGCATGCGTGCCTCGCCTGCTCGGGCAGGGCAAAACACCGCACACCTGCGCGCAAGGCGGAACCCTGCTGACGCGGCCCCCAAGGGCGCATGGGTAGCGAAAAAAGATCACAGCAGCGGACGGCGGCAGTGATGGTGTGGCGCATTTTGCTTCGAGCAAAGGGAGGCCCGCCTCCCAAACGAGCCAGGGCAAACGCCGCGGGCCCACGCTGCATCGTCTGAAACAATACGGAAATCGCTGCCCACGAGCGCGACACCCCGGCCGCCGACCGCCAGCCGCGAGCCCGCCGTCTCGGCGCCCCGCGCCCCGTCACAGGCCAGAATCACGGGAGCCCCACCCCCTGCGGCCGCGTCACTGAAACTCCATTTCCACGTTGGCGCGCGAAAAGTAGTAGTCGCGCCCGGCAATGCGCACGACCCCCATCTTGAGGGTGCACCTCCACTTCTGCTTGCTGCGGTGCACTTTTTCGAAGAGGCACCACCCCAGGTCCTTGCAGCCCTCGTCTGAGATCTTCTTGTCCTCGGCGTCAAGCACACGGTCCAGCTCAGCGTCGTCAATGCTAGGAAGGCGTGTGAGTTTGGGTGGGGTGTGTATGTGTGTGTGTGTGTGTGTGTGTGTGTGTGTGTGTGTCTGTGTGTGTGTGTGAGAGAGAGTGTGATGTGTGAGGCAGCGGGCACATGGGCGGGCGTGGGTGCAAGTGCCTGCCCTGACGATGGTGTTTAGCCCCGCACAGACGCGGCAGTGCTGGGATGTCCTGGCAAACAAACCCTGTGACAAAAGCCGCCTGGCCATCAGGACCGTGCTGACCTGTCGCTGTCCTCGTCGCCGCCCCCTGCGCCGCCAGCCCCCTCGTCGTCGTCACCCGCCCCGTCCTCTTCCTCCTCCTCCTCCTCCTCCTCCGCTGCCTCCTCTCCCAAGTCCGCGGCGTCTGCGGCGACGTCATCCGCGCCGGGCGCGTAACCGCCACCACCGTAGTCATCGCCGTACTCATCATAATCGTACTCGTCGTCACCAGGGCCATCCCGCTGCGGGATCCGGCCCGCTGCGCCGGGGCCCGCCGGCTGCTGCTGCTGCTGCTGCTGCTGCTGCTGCTGCTGCTGCTGCTGCTGCTGCTGTGCTGCGGCGGCTGCGGCGGCCGCCATTTGCTGAAGCTGCTGCTGGTGCTGCTGCTGGTGCTGCTGCTGATGTTGCTGTGCTGCAGCCGCCGCAAGGCGCTGCTGCTGTTGCTGCTGCTGCAACTGTGCAGCGCGCTGCTGGTTGATCAGCATTTGCAGCTGCTGTGCTTGCATTTGCGGCAGTGTGCTTGCCGTCTGGCTCGCCTGCTGCGGCTGCTGCTGGCCCTGCCCCTGCCCCTGCCCCTGCGCACTTCCCGGCCGCGCGGCTCCTGCACCCCTGCCAGCCTGCGCCGCAGCCAGCAGCATAATGGCCTGCTGCTGCATCACGCCCGGCCGCACGGTGTACGCGCCGCCCTGCGCGCCGGGCATCAGCACCACCCCCGCCGGCCGCGCCCCACCCCCTGCGCCGGCCTGCACCGGCCGCGAGCCGCCCGCGGCCGCGCCGGCCTGCAGCGCCGCCTGCAGCACTGCCAGCTGGGCCTGTTGCCCCATCGCAACGCCGCCGCCATACGCCATCGCTGGCTTTTGCTCATCCTTCACGTAAATCCCTGGGCTCTGGCTGTCCGGGTGCGGGCGCTTTCGGATGCCCATGTACTCCTGGGCCGAGGCCGCAGCGGCCGCCATGGCGGCCGCGGGCAGCTGCAGGACGATGGGGCCCGGGGCCCCCGCTGCCTGGCCCGGGCGTGGCGGCGCCACGCCGGGCCCGCGGTGCTGCTCGTGCCTGGCCGTTGCGCGACGTGGATTGTTGGGGGCAAGCGCGGTGAGGTGCTGCCCGCTATATACACGGTTGCTGAACGTGTGTGCAGGGCACAAGTGATGCCCCTGGCCAGTGCTCCACCCAGTGCAGCCGCTGCCACCGCTGCTTCACCTTGGCTCATCCTTGGGTGGCGGCTCATTTAGGAGACCTTTGGCGCGGCACTTCTCCTCCCAGCGCTCCCGTATCCGCATCAGGACCTTCCTGCAAGTGTGTGAAGTGCGCTGTATTGAGACAGGTCCACGGCAGTGAAGCGCCGCCGTGCTGCTGCACTCCGCACCGCCCAGCGCCCTGCGCAGCACGTGGCCCAAGCTGAGATGACCTCGGGCCGCTTCTTACTCGTCTACGCCCTCCTGCACGAACTCTGGCTTCATCTTGGCGATCACATCGTCAATAATGTGCAGGTAGACGCGTTTCAGGTCCTGTTGCATCGGGTTAGCCATCGTGTCGGGTGTATGACGTCCTAAACTATGAGCTAAGCAGGCTTATAGGCACGAACGCCCCGGGCTGAGCTGATCGCCGTGCCCAGCGTGATCTGATGGCGCCCGTGTCCTGCGTTGCGGTACCTCTCTTTTCAGGCAAGTTACGTGAATTGGATACCTATATAATCTGGTTCGACTATCATACCGTATGGCAACTCCACCGGTTTGTGGTCAGGCCAACAAGCACATTGGCTGATGAGCCCGCTGACTGGGTGGCAGACAAGCGCGTGCTGCATGGAAATGTCAGTATCCCCGCAGCAGAGTGCTGATTGTCCATGATAAGCCCTGTACCTACCCCTCTGGTCAACGGCGCGGAAGGTGGTGCCAAGGTTGTCAGACTGATCATTTTGCGTCAATCGCAAGAACCCATGTTTGACACTGGGAAGTCTTCCCAGTGTCAAGCTTTGCCACGTGACGGGACCACCGCTGTTTACAAGAAATCTGCAAAAAACATTGAGGGAACCACAACCACGCACACTCGACGACACCCCCCCGCTGCCGGCGGCCCGCCGCCGCCGCTCACACTGCCGCCCCCGCCGCCTGCTGCTGCTCCTGCTGCTGCCGCCGCTCGCCGCCCGCCGCCGCCGCCGCCGCGGCGCCGCCGGCCGGCTTGGCGGCCTTGACGCCGCGCATGAGGCCGTACTCCATGAGGCCCATGTCGAACGCGCGGTGCATGCGCTCCAGAGTGACGATCTCGCGCGTCACCTTGTACCACAGCTTGGGGTTCCACTTGAACATCACAAACCAGGGGTCCAAAACGCCAACTGCGGGCACAGAGGGGGCCGCGAGGCAGGCAGCGGCGCGGCGCGTCAGGCGCGGGTCGGGGCAGCATGCTAAATGTGCACCGAGGCTGCCCAGCGGGCGGGGACCGCGGGGCCGCGGTGCACGCGGCGGGGGCCGGGGGCGGATGCATGCTTAGGCGCAGGGGCGGCCGCGCGGGCGCGCACCGAGGTTGCTGTGGCGCCAGCTGGGCAGCGTCTGGGGGGTCCAGTCCTCCGCCCCCACGGCCTCCATCTTGCCGGTGCCCTGCAGCGGCGGGAGGGGCAGCGGAGGGGGGCAAAGCTCGGGTGTGGTTGGGAGCCGCGAGCAAGGGGCCCAGCAGAACACGGCCGAGGCACCGCAGCCCGCGCGCCTCACCTGTACCTCGACTGCAGCCAATCTCGTGCTCGTCTCGCATTCAGCCTCGCGTCACACCCGTCTGCGTGCATCAAACCTCAGAAAGCCAAGCTCCCCTCTGCCTCGCCTCCCCGCCAAAACACCAACGCAAGCGCCCACATGCACCAACACGTGCACACGCACACACGCGCGCGCGTACGCACACATACACACGATACGAGTGATTTAAAGCCCGCCGCACCCGGCCCCAGCCCCACCCCCACCTCCATGAGCCTGCAGAACTCCTGGATGCTGATGAAGAAGGGGTGGGCCCACTCGTCATACAGGAACTGCAGCCGCGCCTTGTCGTCGTCAGTGAGGGGCCGCTCCGCGGTCTCCTCCCGCTGGCACCAGCAGGCAATCACCATGTTGCCGCCTGGAGGGAGGAGGGGGGTGGTGGCCGTGGCATGTGAGTGTGTGTGTGGGTGTGGGTGCGGGTTTTGGCGTGAGTCTCGCTTGATATGTGTCTCTCTGTGTGTGCGTGCATGCACGCGCACATACACACACAAACACACTTCCAAACACACTTGAGACACAAATTCTCAAGACACAGGCATTCACACACGCACGCATGCACCAGCACACACGCACACACACACACACACATACACAAACACACACACACACACATGTGTGCGCGCTCATGCATGCACATCAAACAAACACGCACACTCAGACGTACGAAAACACATACACACACACTCACGTGCAAACTACGCAAGCACCCCCCTGGCACACCGCGTTGCCCCCCCCACCTGGCGCCAGCACTCGCGTCATCTCTTCCACGTACTTCTTCTTGTCAGGCATGTGCTCCCCAGACTCGCAGGCCCACACCAGGTCAAACGTGTCGTCAGCAAACTCCATCGCCAGGGCATCCATCACCTGCAGAGGGGTAGTGGTACATGCGCAAGCGCCCAAATGACGTGTTGTTCAAACCAAGCAAGAGTGTAAGGTTGTGTGTGTGTGTGTGTGTGTGTGTGTGTGTGTAAGGAGATGGACGGGGTGGGGAGTGAGGAAGAGACACGCGGAGCACCCAACCAAGCGGGTCATGTGCAGGACCCAATGCCGCAGTATGCCAGCCGGGCACGTTCCAGCCCCTCGTGCCGTCACACACGCACACCGCTTAGCAGCGACCGCGGCCCATGTAGCCACACGCTCCCCAGACCAGACGCGATGCACCCCCCCCCCTTGCCCTAGAGCCCACAGCGCGCTCAGCGCAGCGCGGCGCTCGCCTTGAATGTGACGTTGTTGAGTCCGCGCTCCTTGGCCAGCTGCGTCCCCCGCTCCACCTGCTTCGGGGACAGCGTAATGCCTGGCAGAGAAGGAGAGGGCAGCAGAATAGCATAGCATATGAGCACTAGGAAGGGAATCAAAACAAATTGTCATCAGTGTCAAGTCGGGCTGGCCGCCACGGCTTTTGAACTGCCTGATGTGCGATACGCCTCCATTTCGTTGCGCAGCCGCACAGCCCCTCCCTCGCTACGCCCGCGGCAAAACGCGCCTGCTGCAAACAGAGACGCACGACAGCGGATGCGCCACGAAACAGAGCGCACCGCACCCTGGCACCAGCACTGCTGCCAGCAGCCGGGGCACCCACCGATGACCTCCGCCTCTGGGAACTGCGACGCCAGCCACCTGCTGCTGCCGCCAAACCCGCAGCCGACGTCCAGGATGCGCTTGGGCGTGGTGCTGCCGCTGAAGCGGAACATCTCCTGGGTGAACCGCAGCTTGGCCGCCTTGAAGTCCGCCTTCCACCAGCCCTGGCGGCGCGGGTTGGCGCATGTGATGTGCTTGTTTTCAGGCGAACAGGGGAGGGCGCGGCATGACGGTCGCCGCAGGCGTGCTGCGTCGTGAAGCCCAAGGGCTGCAGCGAAGCAGGCCGGCGGCCAGGGGTTGACTAGGCAGGCGCGGACCGCAGCACGCCAGGCGTGCGGGGCTTCTCTGTGTCAACACACTCGCTCGGCCACACTGGGCTCACGAGCCTTTGCAACCCAGGGCAAGGGCGCACGCCCCGCCCCGCCGGCACCGCAGCCAACCCCCTCGCAGACGCCACGCGGCTGCTTTTGACGGCCCACAAAGGGACGGCAATCAGCAGCCTGCTGTTGGGCTGGCGAGGCTGGGCAGCTTCAGCCACCTGTGCGCACCTTTTCCCGCTCCTCCTCGGTGTACCAGCCGAGGTGGATGTGCTCGCCCCAGTAGTACTCCAGGATGCCCTCATCGGTCCACGCGTCATACTCATCGCCGACGTTGGCGTCGTATGTGCGGGAGGGGTTGTCGTAGACCTGCCAGGGGTCCGGGGTTGGTTTTGAGGTGGGTGGGGTGCGCGGCCCGTTGTGGTGGGGAGGCAGCGCTGGCGTCGCGGGCGGGTGCGGATGAATGTTGGATTATGAAGAGTGTTCTAGGGGGAAAGTGATCGTGTTGTGCATGCAGCAGGGGGGCATCGGCATGCATGCGAAACGGTGTGCGGACGGCGCCGGCGATGCGGGTGCCACAGGGCAGCACAGGCCACAAAGCGGCGAGGCGGTACCTGCTTCAGGCCATAGGCCGCGAGCGCAACACCTCCAGCGACCGCTAGTCCTACTGGGAGTCCATTAGGTAGTGCACTTGCGCTTGCTGCTGCGGGAGAGGCTGCTTCCGCGATGGCCGCTGTGGTATTCCGCATCACCCGCGTGGGCCGCTGCTGAACGCTAATTACTGCCTCTGGAACATTGCTTCCATTGCATCGAAATCCGCGCAGCGTCCTAGAGCCCCCGAGCTGCATCATTGCGAAGACGCAGGGCGAACAGAGCACGTGTATGCAGGTTTTCAATAGATGGAACGCTTGAAAAAAATCAATCGATGCAACACCATGAGGCACGGGACCAATGGGCAAAGGGCGCCAAGTCGCGCTCTTGTGCGCATGGCGCCCTGCTGCTCTCGTGGCTGGACTGCCTGACAACCGAATCCGGGGGCAGCCCCACAAGCGAAGCGTTCAGTAAAAGTGGTTACATACGTTGCATTTCAACTCTGAAAGTCTGCCCAATCATCATCAGCTGCCGCCGCTGCTTCGGCGCCCCCAGCCTCTCCTCCACCACCCACACCTGCCGGTGCCCCAGATGCTTCTGCTGGCGTCGCCGCTGCCAATGAGTTGTCTGAATCTGCGGTCTCCCTGGCCGGCCCCCCATCGCCGCCCCCGCTGAGCGAAGCCGACGGCAGCGGCTCCCGCGGCCGCGTCGCAGCGCTGGCCGGCGACGGCGGGGGCGGCTGCAGCTTGAGCGCGCTCAGCGGGCTGGCCAGCATGGCGGCGGACGCCCCAGATGACCCCGACAGCCGCCCGAGAAGCTTCCGCTGCCCGTCCCCGTCGCCAGACCCAGAGCGCTTCAAGCTCTGTTCAGAGGGCGGGGGTTAAGCAGCAGAGGAGGTGTGCGGATCCGGCCCAGCCGCATGCCTGCAAGCTGTGAGCGACCTCACACCGCGCGAGCTCGTGTGGCTGCATGCGATGGCTCTTCCATGAAACCTCGCTGCTGCAGGGCCGCGCCACCCCCAGGGCGCCATCTGAGGGCCACCGCCACCCGGCCCCACAGCGCCCGACCCCAACCTCCTCACGCTGGAGAGCTTGAGCGTGATCGTCTCCCTCAGCCGGTAGTCCTCCGCCGACCCGCCGCCGGCCCCGCCACCGCCCTCACCGCTGCTGCTGCCGCTGCCGCCCTCCCCGGCCGCCGCGCCGCCCTCGCCGCCGCCGCCGCCACCGCTCCCGAACCGCAGCCGCATCGCCTCCGCCTCGCGGCTGCGCCGCACGAGCTGCCGGAAGTCGTCCAGCGCCGCCGTAAAGTCCGACGCATCTGCTCGGTCCCTGCGGCCGCGCACGGCAGGGGATCTCAAGTGAGGGCGGCGCTGCCCATGCAGCCGTAGGGCCGCCTCCGCCGCGACTCTGGGGCTGCTCGTGCCAATGCGCTTGCAATCTGCGACTTGCAGGGGGACGTATCACCAAGGGCGGCACACCTGAAGCCAAGGCCAACAAATGCGTGCTTCTTCTTGTCGCCTCTGTCAACTATGCGGGCTACAAAGTAGCGGGACGAGTCGACGACCGGCTCAATCGCCTGCGGTGTGGCACGTGGGTGATGTACGCATGACTAAAGGGTCACCAACGCCACAGCAGCTGTCGACACTGGCTGGGCCAGTGGGGAGAGCGAGGATTGTCGGAACGGCGGTGCTTTGAGCCCAGCGCCTGGGGTGCAACAGGACCGCCGGCAATCACCAAACAGCATCTCTTTTTGCCGTCAATCGACTAAAAAGCGCTTGCGCCCGCACTGGCACGGGAGGAGTGCGGAGCGCAGGCGGTCATCAGGTGCAGGAGGGCGTGGCGGGGGCGGCGCTGCCCCAGGCTGCCGCTTGGGCGCACCGTGGTGAGGGACGTCCCATCACTGGGCAGGGGGCACTCGGCAAACAGCTCGCCTGCACACGCAGGGCGGCGGCGCGAGTGGCCGTGGCGTGGGCGAGGGCGAAGCATCCGTCGGCGGTCTTGACGGCCGCATCGGGCAAGGGGCCCCTGGCAAGGTGCCGCCACGCCATGCAGCAAGCCGTGGTTGCAGGCGGCTCCAACAAGCGGCACGCCCTCCCGCATGCTGCAGTCTGCAGCTGCAGCCTGCGACTTCAATGGCCTGGCTGGCAGCCAGGTCCAACGCTGGTTGCAGCTGCTCACCAGTTTCCAGGTCCTCCATACGCACGAAGCAGTCGTCCTGGCGGGTGACCACGCGCACTTTCACTTCCTGAGTTGAGCACGCAATAACACCAGTAAATCAGTGGCATCTTTGCAATGCCAATGTCAAGGAAGGTCCCATGACAGGGCGCCACGGCGACGGATGCTGGGTCGCGTTCGCAAGGGTGCCGCCGCAGCACACCACCACGGGCAGCATTTGTGGCTGTGCAGCCGCGACCGGGCACAGGACGAGGGCAGCGCATTCAAAAAGGCCCAGCCCATGAGGATTCTCATGGGTCGGGCTGTTGCGGCTGCTGACCGCAAACGCCGCGGGTGGCACCCACCCGCAGCCACTTATTCACGTCCCAGAGCTTCACATGGTGCAGAGAGGGATGAGTGGTGTGGAGAGGGTGAATGGCAGTGAGGAAGACCCCATGGCCGCATTTCGTACTGCAGTGCACATCACAACAATCTGTGAGCACTCCTTGCCTGACCATGCCCTATTGAGGTGCTGCATCTCTCCATGGATCAACAGATACTTCAACCCTACAATGTCATCCCGGGCATGCTGCCCTCCATGCCGCCAACCCGGCTGGACATGGGCGGGTTGCTGGTCACACACGCAACCTAGGTGCTGGCGCACCTCAGCGCGGTGGCCATAGTGCGGCGCTGGGGGCAGTGGCGCGTACACGTACGCCTCTCTAGACTGAAATGTGGTCAGCTCAGGCACGTCCTCGTCTTCTTCTGCTGTTGTAGCCATTCTAACGCTCAGGTGCCGATATGGGTGCCTTGGACTGCTGTAGATAATTTTTACAGTTTATATATCGGGTTCCAGTGTGATCGAAGACGACACCTCAGATCGGCGATGCAGCTTGCCAAGATCTGCAGGACCTTAATAGAGTAGTATAGATGGCATCGGGATGTGATGTGCAGGGGGGCCATCCACGACATCATGCTCACATTGTGGTCACTGCAGTACACTCGGTCGATGCTTGCATCAGCACCCTTGACGGATTCACAACTCATCAAGCTGTCTACAGCTGGTGATAAACCCACCACCACACCGCTGGGTGCAAGTGACCTCAGATTTCAGGTGCCCGCGTGCGTGCTACAATGCATGCTTGCGTCGCGCTGCACATGCGGCATTTCGCCATCAGCGTCATCTGTTGACCACGGTTCAACCGCGGTTCCTGCTGTGCAGGCAGCCACCAGTGTGCGCTTCGTCCTCGAAACCCAAATAAGCCTCTCGTCTCCCTCGGACCTCCTGTTCCCTGATGCTGATTGGAAGCTTCTAGCATGGGGTCTTACACACTTGTACCATCATGTGACTGCAATGCACCAGCCGGCGACGGCGCAACGCGCTAATTGAAGAACGCCAACATCTGGGGGACGCCTGAAAGCATGGCCGATCTGGACAGCTGCCTTGACAACACAAGGTTGTGCGTGTGCAAGGGCAATGTCAATGCAGTGACGAGCGCTCCCCACACACACCCCAGCACACGAAACAAAGCAACGACAGAAAAGCACGATGCAAAGGTCTACGAGGCGGTGGCAGGTATTCAAAGGCTGAAAAGCAGAGGCAACGACACGCAGCACCTGTGCTGCACCTATTTTTGGTGAAATCAAAAGACCTTGCAGCGCCCTGTATGGGGTTCAGCCGGTGGAATATTGGGCCTGCTGAGATCGGCTGGGGTGGTTGATTGACCCGGGCGACTTGACGTCGGTGTGGCCACACATAATGGCGCCACAGTCCAGCCATGCTATACTACAATGCGCAGCAAGTCTTTGGAGCACATGCGTGACCCACTCCATATGCATCACAACAAGTTAAGGTCCAGGCCACGCAGTCATGGCGGCCCTTCAAACCAAGTGCCCAAGGTTGTCCAAAGGGAGTGTGAGGCCCCCCTGAATGCCACCGCTCGCGCATCGCCCAAAGCAAGCTCCTCCAACCCTTGCTGTGAATGCCCGGAAATATGATAATAATGCAGCCACTCACCCAGCCACCATCAAACCAACCCTCCAGAGGCCCCGCCCACGGCAGTACCAAAAGCCACTGCGCGACACCGGCACGAGCTGGTCAACGCAGTGGCGTCCTCGGCTCCTCTTGCGTTTGAAGTTCGGAAAAGGCAGTCATACGCACACACGCACGTTTGCAGATGGTGTTGCGCGCGCCACCGACTGTGCGCCCACGCCTCCCTGTCGCGGCCTGGGCTGCGCCATGCGTTGCCTGCAGCCACATTTGCAGGACAGCAGCAGCCAGCCACGGTTGCACGGCCACGGCCCAGCCACGCCGCAGATGCCTGGCAGCGGCCGCGGGACGCGCCCGCCCCGTCAGATCGGCGCCAGATCGCCGCCAGTCTGCTTCATCGCCAGATCATGCCCCAAGGGCCGCGTACAGAGCGTCGATCTGAGGGCGTGGAGGGGGATGCGGGGGGCCAGAGCCACAGGTGTCGGTTGGGAGAGGTTTCGGGGCGGCAAACGTTTTTTTCCCTTTTTTCCCACCATTGCCTTTTTACCGAAGTAGTGATTGTGGTGGGGCCCCCACTGTACCTCGGTTTGGTACCTCTTGAGCAGCTGCGGCCTCTTCAGTGAGAACTTCGGCGTCATCAGCTCGTTCTCAACACTGAACGGCTCGTGCTCCAGGATGACGCCCTGCGGGTGTGTGGGGGCGTATGGGCGATAGGAGGGGGGGGTGTTGTGACGGAAGGCTTGCGGGCGTGTGTGGGGCGGGAGGTGGGCACGGCTGCTGGGGGTGCGGTCGGAAGAGGGGGTGAAGAGGGGGCAGCCACGATGCTGCACGCTGAGGCGATGGCTGAAAGGCTTGGTTGGCAGGGAGGGTAGGGATGGTCAGTCACTGACCACCCCACCCCATGGTGCAACGGGGGCAGGCAGGCTGGATTACGAGCTGTGCAGCGCCAGCCGTGCGGGGCAAAACGTGGGGATGCGGGCGGGCGCGAGGAGTGTGGGGCAGCGGTGGTGGGAGTTGGGGGGAGTGTGGCTGGATTTCACCTTGGGCAGCTCGAAGCCCTTGAGCTTGGCGGCGCGGCCTGGGCGGGTGGTCGGGGAGG